ATACAGCAGGTTCATTTTCGTAAACTGAGGGGAAGCAGAGGAGGGGAGAACGTGCTGTGTTTTCTTACAGGATTAAGGCCTTAAGGGGACTGGTGAATTTTATGCAGTCTTTGCTTGACTTTGGTTCTGAGAAGCATCTTAAAGCTTGGATGCATAAATTTTCACTTCTCTAGCTGGGTAAAAAGTTCATAAAAATAGAGTTCCTTCAAATGTGTTTCACAGTTCCAGATCCCAGTCAAAATAGTCATGCCCAGATATCCTGCTGTGTTTGGTATTCCTGCTTCTAGCAAGAATTTACTCTTGGAAATGGTGAGATGGGTATGAGTTTGGAGCAGGAGGATGAAGCAGGCAGAACAACCTTGGCAAGAGTTTGGTTTTTGAAATAAGTTGAATGTCAAGGAGGATTTTCTCCTAGCGTTTCACCCATTTTCAGTTGACCTGAAATGTTTTGGACTTACTCCATAAAGGCTTATGGACTGATGTGACTACAAAGAGTAGCTTATAGACCCTAAATCTGTCTTTATTTACTCAGATACCAGGGAGTAAGATCAGATTGGTGTGAGAATGACACCCACATATTTTCACTTATAGCCAAGTCTAAAGATTAGGTAGTGGGGGCAGAGGAAAAATACAGACTATGGAGTCATATATGCTGCTTAGAAGTTGAATTTCTTTCCTCAAAGTTAAATAAATTGTGCATGCAAGCAGGAATCAAAATGCAAAGGCAGAGGTGTCAGCAGGATACAATTAACTTGCAAATTGCCAAGTAGGGATGTAATATGGAAAACCTGTATCTGCTGTGAACAACTTTATTTAGATTACTCACAGGTGAAACATTTCAGGCTGGTTTCTCACAAATGCAGTTTTGGTGAATTTCATTAGCGTTCCTGTAGCTACTTGAGCTTTCTTGAAATAATGTTGCATTTGTAAAGGTATCCATCTCTATACATCCTTCCCCCGCCCCCCCATATGTGTTGCTTGCCTTTTCCTCTAAAAGATACTGCTTTTTCTTGCCTTCAGTGAGCTATAACTCATTCCAGTTTAATCTTTATTAGACTTGCAGTACCACTGCAAATATGCCATGCTGTATAAAATACAAGAATCTTTCTTATAGAGAGAGAAAGGAGAAAATAAGACTCCAAATACAGCTGACTGGGGTGTTTCTGACTGCTCAGAAAAGCACCAGGAAGCTGCTATAGCCCCTGGGCAATCAGTCAGGAGGCTGAAGAGGTCGAGGCAGAAAAGACTAGTGCTTTCCTCGTAAGGATGGGGGTTTCATAAATGGGCTTCCAAGATATCTGCTAATTTCTGAATGTCAGATAATCCCTCCTTTTTTTTTTCTTTTGTTTTGTTTTGCACTAACACTAAAGAAAATCTTTTCCTTTTTTTCCTGATACCATTTCAGCGTATTTAAAGTTTTGTTCTGATAGAAATCAATTTTAGTTCTTCTTTTGAAATATAAAGAGATTTCCACTCAGCGAATGTGCCACTATGTTCTTATTAATGAATTATCTATTTGGTTCTCCAATAATTCTGTTGATGTCCTCCTTCCTTGTGAATTATTTATATTATGACATTTCTTTATCAGCAAGCAAAATAGCAATTTACATGAATTTTACATTGTTGCTCTCATTATTAATTATCCTTTTAATAATTGTTCTGTGCTTGGCTTCATCAGTAAAGAAAGATGAATGTTCCCCAAGAAGCATTTAATCTCATCTTGGTTCTGTATCTCAAAAATAACTGCTAATAGCCCAAGAATAGCACAAGAATAGCACACCTACTAGTAATAGTAGTGGTTCTTCCCGTTTGTACCTCCCTTTGCCCCCTTTCCCCTCCTGTATGCCTGTAGTATCCTGTAGTTTGTTCCGAAAGAGCAATGGATGTTTCCCTGTTAATGATTATTTAAATAACAGAATTAACTTGCTATTGTACTTGCTTCTTCCTGTCTTTCAGAGAAAATGACTATGAATGAATTCATATTAGCTCATTGGACATTCCTATGAATTTCAGCATTTTAGTTCGTACATTATGTGTGCATTAATGAATGAATTTACACTTCATAATGTAAAACTGATGATATCTATACATGCCTCTGGGGAGTTTGTGAGGTCATTAAAGTTACATTTGCAGAGGAATATATGGATTTTTTTCCCTCACATTATTCTTTTCCAGGCTAATAATGCTATTTTGAGCTCTTTTTCAGAGTGCTCATTTATATTGGGAGGCTCTCTTATCCGGTATCCTGTTCATCTAGCTTTCCAAACTTTTCGTTCCATAAGGGAAATGAGCTCTGTTTTGTCAGAAATACTTCAACCATTCCTGCAAGAACACGAGGACTTATGTTTTCAGTGGTTAGCGTTGTCTCTAGAGATAATGGTCACTGAAAGGCAGCCCAGAGTGAAAAGCAAATATGCACGTCAGAGATGAAAACACCAATTTATACCGTGCCTCCTTCCTGTCTGCCTCGCTGATTGCTTGTTCTCTCCACGAAGGAAGATTCCAGCACTAATGTTAGTGTTTTGGCATCCGGGCAGCTGAGCGTAAAGAAAAGCAATGATGTTTTATTCAGAAATTCTCTCTGGAATTATAAGCCTGTCCCATATTTCTGCAGATTGCTTTTGTGGTATTTTTCTCCTAAGAATAAATAAATAATAAAATAAAATAAAATAAAGAGTCATCAAATTCACAGGAGCTCACAGCATAATTAACACCCCGCCAGGGACTGCGGGAGAGGCGCCGGCAAACACAAACCATCCCTCCTGAGAGCGCCAATCGCTCTGTTCTCACTGAACAAAATCTTAATGTGTTAAGCCAGGGGGTTGTTTAAATAGATTGCTTCAGGTACTATTTCCATAACCCCTGCTTCCCATTTTTAAGACTTTCCTTTTTTTCAATAGGCAGTGTTTGGCAACATATATTTAAGCATAAACTAACTACTGTCTATTCATACAGTTTGCATTCAACTTAAATATTCATAATATTTAACTAATACCTTCCTGATGGCTAGGTTCTGAAGAAGACTATTGGACTGTGAAGAAAACCATCTGCATCCGGAATCTAAGTTTGCTGCAATGATTAAACAGCTTTAAACAGCAGACCAAAGGAATATTTAGTTCAATAACCAGCAAATTCAAAGTTAAGGAACTGTTTAGAAATGGAAAAGCTGAAGTGCCATTATCTTTTTATGATCTGTGAATAAATTCACAGTATGGGATATTAAGAGTTATGAATTCATTCATTAACTGTATGTAATATTTGCTCTGGTTAATAAACAACTTTTAAATATGAAATGTTTCATACATTTTTTGCCTTTTTTTGTCCGTATCTAGCATTTTCATTGAAATTTTACTTAAATAGTAAACACATTTAAAATGCTTGCTTTCTGCATTTAAACTGAATTCCCATTTCCATCCAAAGCAGCTTGATAGAAATCATAAATAAAAATTAATCATAAAGTATATAATTCATTTCCAACAAAATGATGTGTAAGTGAATGTGAATAACAGTGCTCAACTGGATCACTGCTCAAATGGGAATGCAGGATATTTTTCTGGTTAGAAAAAGGAAGTAACATATTAGCCTAAAAATTACATTTAATTGCAAATCATCTTTTAGAAAAGTTTATCTGCCTATAACAGTCCAAATCTTTTTGAAAAAAAGAAAAATATACCTCCAGCATAAGTATCAAAAAAGGTTTTTTAAAAAGTATTTTTTTTTACAGTTTTCGTGTTTTCAGGTGAATGTGAACTGTATTACTGAACTTTACTGAAGTAGAATTTCTTTACTGTGAGGGTGACAGAGCACTGGAACAGGCTGCCCAGAGAGGTTGTGGAGTCTCCTTCTCTGGAGATCTTCCAAACCCACCTGGATGCCACCCTGTGCCACGTGCTCTAGGTGTCCCTGCTTGAACAAGGGGGTTGGACTACGTGATCTCTAGAGGTGCTTTCCAAACTCAACCATTCTGTGATTCTGTGTGAAAATACCTTTAAAATTAAGTTATACTTTTTTTTTTGTGGAAAATATTGTCAGGTTTTCCAGAAATACTATAGTTCTGTGTCTTGCAAATGAGCAATTCTAGAATAAATGGGAGAGAAAATACTTATACGAATATTAGTTATTCCTCATTTTAGGAACATCTAAACTCAAACTTTTATTTCCATAGAAAAGTCCAACATTGCTAAAACTCATTTAATTACCAATTGGAAGAAAATGCAGTTTTGATAATTTCTAAATACCTAATATTTTCTTTAAAATGGTGTACTTATTGAAATGGGCAACATTTCTCCTTCATTATGAGTGCTGCATCTTAAACTTTGATATATCATAAATTACACTCATACAATAAAAATTATAATCTTTCTGTATTTGTTTTGCTGTGTTTTACAAAATATCTGTTAAACATTTAGATATCGCAGAATATGTGGCTTCCTACAGAAAATTCTTCAATCTCAAAACTTTCATTTAACTCTGTTCTGTGTCAAACCTGTAAAGCTATTAACTTCACTGTCCATAATGCATATCTATAGAGTATGTCTTAGGGTGGTGAATATTATTATATATAATTCTCACAGTTTAATTGATTTAACGTACTGTATGTGTAAAAGATGCTGATTAGACTTAATTGCTTCATATTGAGCCTCTTAAACTTATCAAAATCTGAAAATCCATATTCCTTCAAATGAGGACTGCAGTAGGTCCCATTAAGTCATACAGTTGACAGTGACCTGTTCCTGTCTTTTTTGGTGCTGTGAATTAATGAATCCATTTCAAACCTAAATTTGCTGGAGGAGTGTTTCAGTATGTAGTTTGGTGACAATTCTTGTTTGCAAGAACAGACGCAAATGTGCTTGTAAGGACAACGAAGTCAGAGCAGCTGGGGGTCCAGTCCTTTGTGCTGGTTGAACTAATAGAGAATGAATGAATGAATGTTCCCATGTGCCTTGTGAAGAGGGATGATGCACTAATTATACCTCAAGTGATCTTCTGTTTTCTTCTAGGTCTTACAGCTGCAGCATCTCTTGTATCCCTGGCTTGGGCTTTGGCCTCCTACCAAAAGGCCCTCCGTGACTCCCACGATGACAAGAAACCCATCAGCTATATGGCTGTTATAATCCAGTTTTGCTGGCATTTCTTCACAATAGCCGCGAGGGTCATTACTTTTGCTCTGTTTGCCTCGGTTTTCCAGCTGTACTTTGGGATCTTCATTGTGCTTCACTGGTGCATCATGACCTTCTGGATCGTCCACTGCGAGACAGAGTTTTGCATCACTAAGTGGGAGGAGATAGTGTTCGACATGGTGGTGGGGATAATCTATATCTTTAGCTGGTTCAACGTCAAGGAAGGAAGGACACGCTGCAGGCTTTTCATTTATTATTTTGTGATCCTTTTGGAAAACACCGCCCTGAGCGCCCTGTGGTACCTGTACAAGGCCCCACCGATCTCCGACGCGTTTGCCATACCAGCACTGTGTGTCGTGTTCAGCAGCTTTCTAACGGGCATTGTTTTTATGCTGATGTACTATGCCTTCTTTCACCCCAACGGACCGCGGTTCGGGCAGTCACCAAGCTGCGCTTGTGAGGACCCTGCCGCCGCCTTCGCTCTGCCCCCTGAAGTGGCGACCAGCACGCTGAGGTCCATCTCCAACAACCGGAGCGTCACGAGCGAGCGGGATCAGAAATTTGCGGAGAGGGACGGGTGCACGCCCGTGTTTCAGGTGAGACCCACTGCACCTTCCACACCTTCCTCCCGGCCACCAAGGATTGAGGAGTCTGTCATTAAAATCGACCTGTTCAGGAACAGGTACCCAGCCTGGGAGAGACACGTGTTGGACAGGAGCCTGAGGAAGGCCATCCTAGCATTTGAATGTTCCCCTGCTCCTCCACGGCTACAGTATAAAGACGATGCCCTTATCCAGGAACGCTTGGAGTACGAGACCACATTATAAACAAAACACAACAAAAAAGAAATACCCACAGCTTGAAGAAGCTCTGACATTACCGCCCAGATTGAGGGTTGATGGTAGGGCTGTAAGAATAACTAAACTGCGTCCTGCAACTAGAGCTACAAGCTGTAGTGTTCTTAGTCTGGCTATCATCATGATTATCATTTGATCCACTGTGTGCAGTCTGTCCGCAGGACCCTGATTCAGCAGCATCACCTGAAAGCCTCAAAAAAACAAAAACCAACCCCCATACATGTCCACGTCCACACACGCACACACACATCAGTTGCTTCAGCTGGGGACGCTCACCCACGACTCCTTGCTGCTATGAAACTCTGACTGCATAGTACTCATATTCAAAACATTAGGAAGGTCCTGATCAGAGCTTTCAACATTAGCCAGTAGTGCATTTTATTTTAGAAATTAAAGATTGATATTTGCATATTCAATGGCAAAAAAATAACAAAACTTGTCAAAAATAACAAAACTGTACCATGCAATGTTGCTGTTATGAAAACTGGTTCCTAGGGGAAAAAATAGGAGCATAGTAGTTCTCAGCATGTCCACAGATAAACCATCCAGGTTAGAATAGGTTTGCAGAAGAGTTCTTAACTAAAAAGATACATCATGATGTTTGTAAGGCTGTCAGTGAAAAATGAACTAAATTCTGAGTTTATAGGCATTAATACCAACAGAGCTGTCTGTTTTCAGTGGAATTTCAAAGTCTTTTTAATTGAAGTTTAAGTTCTTTATGTTACTTTCAACAGAAATTCTATGCAGCTCACTTCTGGTTTTCAGGAGAAAGAAAATACAAACAAATAAACAAACAAAAAGGAGCTCTAGCACGTAGTGATGTAATTTAAATGATAATCATGATTCAGTGTTCAATGTGCAAAAAATAAATAAATGCAAAGAACAGGGAAGAATAGTTTTCATATTCTAAACTTTTTGGAGGACCCCATTCAGCTGCTTGGGTGGAAGCTCTGAGGAGAGGAACACACTGAAGCTTCTCTCTGTTTCAGGACTCAGAATGCATGATTCAGTGTGTGAAAGTATGCAGGGCTGATAAGCGACCGTGACATGCCATACCCTTCTAGTGCCAAACTTTGTATAAAAGCAAGATCGAGATCGTTGCCTGAGGGACAGGAAAGGAGTGACACAAGCCCTACAAGAACCAGAAGCAGGAAAGACCAGTCGAGTTCTCAGCATGTCCGGACCGCACTGATTTTTCCCGCTCAAGGTGAAAGTGATGTCTTTTAAAGGCTTTCGGCCACCTCTTAGTAAGTATATTCAGTAATGTAACCATATAACCAAGTTATGTGGAAGACCCTCTTGAGCCTGTTCAGGACTTGTTTCCGGATACGCCTAAGAGTTGTGTTGAATCTCTCGTAATTGAGTGCTTTTGCTGCAAGCTTTTTGGGTTTCAAATACCTCCCTCAGTCTAGTCAATGGTATCCTTCTTTATGTTAAAAGTATCCCCTGATGGTGCTTTCAGATGCATTAAAGATGCAAGTCAAAATTTGATAGTATTTTTTTTAAAGCTGGTGCAGAGTGAATAACTCATGAATTATTTCAGTATTTTTGTAAAGTAAAAATATGGTATAAAAAGGTTACTTTTTATAAACCTCAAATCTTTTAATACATTTCATTCTCTTTATAGCTTAGAATTTAAGAATTGGTCCATGAATTTTATCAACTGGCTTCTGCAGGTTGATAGAAACATGATTTGCACACATCACGGATTTGTTTTGCAGTGTAATGCCATATGAAAGCCTACACGGGTACTTTTAGAATATTCCATAATCTGTGGATCCTGCTTCAAATGTAAAAGTGACTTGTAAAGACACCAAGTGATTCCGTAATTTGCTATTACTATTTCCATCCATTTAGGAGACTGAAGCAGAACTGAAGAGTTACTGTTTTAAACGCATTGTCAGGATGGAGAAGACCTGATGATTGGTATTTTTATCTTCACTGTCAGGTATATTCGATGTAGTCACTGCTGTATATGCTGCCGGGTAAATTTCAGTCCTTCCTGTTATTAATATTTGTACTATGAAATAGCAGAGGTTACATGGCCTATGTTTATTTGTATGCATTCAATTAACCATTTTTAATGTTGACTTTTTTATTAGTGAAATGTTCAATATCTGTTATTTGCTGGGGCAAGGCCCTCCAAGCAAAACATGGAATCTGTGGAAGTGCAGGAATCTGCGAGCCAGAAAGAACTTTACACAGATCAGAAAACACCCATTCTTGAAGGGTTTCTTAAATCTTTTCAAATTAAGCAGTGGCCAGCTGTCAGTATATTCATTTTTTAAATAAAATGATCCTTTGATAGCCCAAATCTGAAGCTTTGTACAAAGCATTTGACCATGGAGATGTAGCTGATTATTCCATGAAGAGTACTCATATTTTGCCAGGAAAACGTACTGTTGTTCTACCTGCCATTAAACAAAAAAAAACAAAAAAAAAACAAAAAATTGCTCGGCCACAAGGAAATCAGGGTTTTCCTTTACGAACCAGGTGAACGGGTTGCTTGGCTTATCCAAGGCCTGTGAGGGCTGATTTTGGGAACAACTCTAGACATTTGCTACTTCTTTAATACCTAAGAGAGGCAGCCTATAGGCAGCGCATCAAGAGCTCTGCAGCTGCTTTGGGCCTCGTGCAGCAGGTCCCTGATGCCTTTGCCCAGGAAGGGTGGCACTGGCATCGCTGCCACCAGCGAGGCTGCTGCTGTGCCATGCCCCTGTCCTGCTGCTGCTCGCAGCTGGTAGCCCCTTAGACAAGGAGGCTCAGTGCAGAATTTCAGGGTGCAATATTGCTTAATACAGAACTTCAAGGGTGACAGTCCAGCCCATGCATTTTCCTTGCACTTGCATTGCAAGGTTTCTGAAGAGGGACTTGGACTGGTGTTTTATTTACTTAGTCTTGTTTGGTTTTGGAAGGAAGGACACGGAGGGGTTGTGTGTTCACTGGGTTTTAATTTCTAGCATTTACTTTCTATGCTGTCCCATCATTTGTAAGGTTTTTTAAAAATGTTTATAGATTTAAGTGGACCGCAGCAGGTTCCAATAGAAATACACCCACTGAGTGCACAGAGCCATAAACAGTAGCATGGATGCAGAGCATGACACTAGAAACCCATCCAGGTGTTTGAGGAAAGGAGGAAAAGTCGTGTCATACTGAGTCTAAATTTGTTCTCCAGAATCTTAGGTTCTTAATGTCAGTGATATTTTCACTGAGAATAGGATGTCCGATGAAATATAACAGTCAGTTGACTGCATGGGTAGTTTCTCATGCTTTGCCATGAACGGTCACATTACAGAGCTGTAAGAATTTTTTATAGAATTTATCAAAATTAAACGTAGTCCATGGTGAAATTCCATGATGGCCTTATGGACAGTTAATAATCAATATGCACTATTCTTTTTACCGCAGACAATTTTAAGATGTACCAATAAAGTTCAATTAAGACAGCAATAGCAAAAAAAAGAATTGTAAAGAAAAATAACTTCTGCTTTTGAAATAATGAAAAAATCAGGTCTTCAAGACTCCATCCCTGAACAGCAGAAAAATAAAAGAATTTCATAATTATAATCTTGTAAAGAAGAGCAATCATATCTCTTTGTCTGTTAGAAATAAATGTCATGCAAGCATTGTACTAATGAACCAAACAAATTTGCCAGTGGACCTAAAGATAACTTATCTGGTAAAAAATTTAGTCCTAAAACTTTAGGGGTTGTGGATTTGTATGTTACAGAAAAGACAATTTAAGTAGCATTCACTACTCTGATTAGATAAAGGAGGAAAGGTACTGTATATCCATGTTCATTCAGAAAATATATAAGAAAATGTAAGATAAAACTTTTGTCTTATTTTAAAAGAAATGTTATTTGTCCTACAATAAGATAATCTTTTTTAAAAATGAATTGTTTGAAAATATGTGCAATACTTTTTTCATGCATTTTAATAATGAAAAAAATCATTTCTACTTTTGCTTGTCACCTGAAATCTGCTTCTTGTGCTAGAACAGCGTTTCTGTGCTTGGCTCACGTGGGCTTGATTACATTTAAATACTATTTTCATTGTCCAAAAAAAACAATTTTTCTATTAGTTCATTTCTATAACATTGGGATTAGATTTAAAAAAGCTTTCTAAAGTTAAATGCTAGGCCTCATGCTGCCTGACTTTATAAACCTTTAAGGAGAGGAGGAAAACTAAATTTTACTGGAGCTGTAATTTTTATTATGTGGCAAATAGTTATTAATCCCAAAATTGTTTAAAATGTGTCTAATATTATTATCTAAGTGATATAGATAATCTCTATAATATTATCTCACTGCAAGTGCAATTCTTGAGGGGTACTAAAATTCCAAATGCAGTGTTTTTGGAGGGAAAGTACTCCCAATCACTATAAAAAAACAATATACTGGTTTACCTTCTATTGGCCAACAAATATTCACTACTAGCCCGTTGTTATTTAAAAACCCTGAGAAATAAATTTTGAAATTTATTTCAAAATTTTTATAATTTTACAAATTTATGGGACCTTTAAAAAATGGCCCTGTGCCAGCGTGTCAGCTCCCGAAGCCATGGGCTCTTTCCTGCTCAGCCCCTGACGGATGCAACCCCAGGTGAATGCGATGCTGTGATTTACTCTGCACCTCCCGCACTGGCTGCACAATGCCAAGGAAAAGGCTCCAGCAGGTTGCTGGGGTCCTACTGCTGCCTCTCTGCTCCCGTGCAGGGTGGGAAGCAGAGTAAATCGCACTTGTGCATCCATCTGAACGGGCTCTTTTAGGCTGTGCCTCTGCAAAAGGTGCGTGATTAAAATAATCACAACACGTGTCCATGAACCTGAAAGCCCAACACTGTAATTACTTATTCTGTAGAGGAACAATGCAGAATGTGGAAAGAATTGTCCAAATACACAATAAGCCATTTAATTTTGCTAATTGTAGCAATTAGACTGACTCGCATGAAGCCCATGCTCTCAGCAG